CCTCCATCTTCTCCTTCTCCTTCTCTTCCTCCTCCTCCTCCTCTTCCTCCTCCTCCTCCTCCTCCTCCTCCTCCTCCTCCTCCTCCCCCTCCATCTCCTCCTTCTCCCTCTTCTCGTCCTCCTCCTCCTCATCCGCCTTCTCCTCTTCCTCCTCCTCATCCTCCTCCTCCTCGGGTCGCCTACGGCCCCAGGGGAAACCGTGCAGCTTCAGATTCCGATTCGAATCGATTTGGGATTCCGATGTGGCTTCCGATTCCGAGTCGATTCGATGTGGGATTTTGGTTTGGGTTCCGATCTTTGGTCGGAGGCATCTGATCCTTGGCTTGCCGCTTCCCGCCGCTTCGACTCCTCCCGACTCGGCTGCCGATCTCTTCGCCGTTCCGATTCGCTTCGATCGGCGATCCAATGTTTATCGATTCGATGCTGGGCTTTCCTGCCCACGTCTGCGGGCCACGGACCGCGCATGAGCGTGCGTACTGAAAGGACGCCAGGGTTAAGTCGGGCGTGTCCCTCTACAGGAGGAAAATTCAAAAATAGTCAAAACATTGTATGGGGACAATTTGTCGACCATGTTCGACTATTTTCGAGCATGTTCTGATATCTTGTTCCCAACCATCCTGTGGTGTTGGGTCTTCGTTTTGAAGAGACGATCCCCGCGTTCCTCCTCTATCCTCTTCCTCCTCATCCTCCTCCCCCTCCTCCCCCTAATCTCTCCTCCCTGCGTCTCCCCCACCCAGTACAGCGCTTCGTGGCCCCATAGGGAGCTCCACCGAAGGCTCCAGTGGGGGTGCCCGCATGCGTCCGCCACACCCAGTACAGCGCTTCGTGACCCCATAGAGACTCCAGCGAAGGTCATAGTGGGACCGCCCGCATGCGTCCCCCCCACCCAGTACAGCGCTTCGCGGCCCCATAGGGAGCTCCACCGAGGGCCCCAGTGGCACCGCTGCGTCCCCCCACCCAGTACAGCGCTTCTTGGCCCCATAGTGAGCTCCAGCGAAAGTCCCAGTGGGACCGCCCGCATGCGTCCCCCCCCACCCACCCAGTACAGCGCTTTGTGGCCCCATATGGGGGCTCCGCCGAAGGCCCCAGTGGCACCACCCGCATGCGTCTCCACAACCCACTACAGGGCATCGTGGCCCCACAGGGAGCTCCGCCGAAGGCCACAGTGGGACGGCCCGCATGCGTCCCCCCCCAACCCCTTACGGCACGCCCCATCACGCGTTGCGTGGCCCACCGGAAGCGGCACCCACAACGCGTTGCTCACAGTTGCATTTGGTTGGGTGGTTGGGCCCCTCGCCAGGATAGCTATTCCCAACCATCCTGTGGTGTCGGGCCCTCGTTTTGAAGAGACGGCCCCCGCGTCCCTCCTCCCTCCTCCTCCCCCCCTCTCCTCCCTCCTCCCGTCAGGATCACTTGTCGTCCAACCTTCGCCTGCGGGCGCCTGCAGGAGGCCACGCCCGAGGGACGGCGCTCCGTCTCCGGAGGGCTTCGCGGCCGCACGCCGGGGCCCAGCGGGAGCGAGGTGCGGCGCGCTCCGAGACGAGTCGGCGCGGCGGGCTTCTTCGGGCCGCGTGCTCGGCCTCCAGGAGGCCCTCGCCGGCCCGCGGGAGCGCCGCGGGAGGACTCCTCGGGACGCAAAGACCGGCCCTGATTTTCCATCGGGCCTGTCCCTCTACGGGAGAAACATCTGATAACCACGGTTCGAAAATTAAACAGGGGTACGATTTTTCGACCAGTTTCTGCCGTCCTTGAGAATGTGTTGACTATATGTTTCAACGTTTTCGTCCAGCATCCGCCTGTAGAAGGACATGCCCGACCTGGCCCTGACAAGGGAAGCAGTCCAGACCTCTGGGGCCCGGGCATCGGAAAACGTTGGAGCGGCCGGGACGCTTGGGACGGTCGAGGGAAAGGGTTGCTGGACACTGCCCCTCCCCCGCAAGCTCAGAGCTGGCACGCGCCGGGGAGACTGTGGCCGAGGCGTAGCTCGTCCAGACCCACCGCCAACTTTTGAGCATTGGGCGGGGGGAGGGGGAGGCGTGGACAAGTGAGTGTGGCATGAGTGTTCGCTATGTTTCCGAGGCCTGGAGTTCAGTGGGGCCTGTCCCTCTACAGGAGGAATTTTCAAAAACAGTAATAAAAAATATGATGGGCACGATGTGTTTTAGCATCTGTTTGCTATGTTTCAGTATTCTTCTGGTACTTCCTGAACTTTTCGTCCACAATCCGCCTGTAGGGGGGCACGCCCGACCTAAGCCTGGAGTGGCCCTTCGCCGGAGGGGCTCCTCTGCTGCGGGCCCACGGGGTTCCCCCCCGAGCACTGGCCCGCGCGCGTGGATCTGACGCTCCCCGCGGCCCCCGAGAGCCGCGTGCGCCAGAGGTCGCTCCTGCCACGGGGCTGCTCTTGCGTGCCAGCGACCTCGTGGGTGTGGGCGCTTCCGCGCCGAAGGCACCTCCTCCTCCTCCTCCTCCTCCTCCTCTCCTCCTCCTCCTCCTCCTCCTCCTCCTCCTCTCCTCCACCTCCGTCCTCCTCCTCCTCCTCCTCCTCCTCCTCCTCCTCCACCTCCTCCTCCTCCTCCTCCCCTCCTCCTCCTCCTCCTCCTCCTCCTCTCCTCCTTCTCCTCCTCCTCCTCCTCCACCTCCTCCTTTTCCTCCTCCTCCTCGTTCGAGGTCGCTTGCCAGCGGTGCCGTGGGCCTGCCTCGGTGGGGATGTGCTCGGGTGGCGTTCTCTATGCAGGGGGAGGACGTTACGCCGCCCGGCGTGCGCACCGCCTGGCTGCTCAGCACATGGCCACCCAGATGGGGTCGGAGTAGATGGGGTCGGAGGATCGCGCCGCATCCCGATGCATCGCCGATGCCTCGCCGATGCGTCGCCGATGCCTCGCCGATGCATCGCCGATGCGGCTCGATGTGGAGCCCAATTTTCTCCACGCCGACGTGGCCGATGCATCGGCGAGTCGCCAGTGCATGGCCGATGCATGATGCAGCGCCGATGTGTTGGCGATGCGGCGGGATCCCCTGACCCCATCTACTCCGACCCCATCCAGGAGGCCTCCCAGTGTGGAGCTCGGGGCGCGAACACTCCGATCGCAGCGGAGCAGGCTCGGTCGCCGAGAACAGGAGAACGAAGAATGGCATGAACATAAGAACTGGGAGGTCCACGCGGAGTTCTCGGAGCCGCGCTGGACCCCCTTGGCGGCGCCTCCGGCGCCGATCCGAGAAGTCCGCGCGGACTTCCGAGTTCTTATGTCTGCGTCATTCCTCGTTCCCCTGAAGAAGGTGCCCCCTGCTGCGTTGCGAGAGGTGCTGGCTAGCCGAGAGGTCGGCCAAGAGTGGCTGCTCGCCGTGGCCTCCTCGTCGTGCTTCTAGGGCGTCACCTGGGAGAGCTTTCTCAGAGCATGGCGGCGGGGGGCCGTAGCTGGTTAGAGCGTTTTTCCTCCCTCAGTTCCCCCTTCCTGGCTCATTCTCATCATCCCTCTTCCCTGGAGCTCGTCATCGTCCCCGATCGTTCTCGTTCCTTCCCGCACTCATAATCCAGCTGCACAGCGGGTGCAAGTGATAAGAGGAGGTGGCATGCCAAGAGTGGACGTTGCTGAGCCTCCATATTGCCCGCTAGTGCACAGGTCGATGAGACGACCGCAGGACTCCAGTCGACGTGTACTGGACGTTGGGAGGCTCGACGCCCGTGTAGGCGTTCTTCGACACCGTCGTAGCCGACTCCTCCCAGATTCTCACTTCACGTCCTCCCCCCCCTACACACATCCTCGATATCCACAGCCATTTTGGCTCGAGCTTTTCTGGCGCGGGCAGCGTGCGGGGGAGGATCTGTTCCCCAAGAGCTCAGGCCATGGGGAACGCCATGGCGACCTGCTGTGGCGACGCTCGCATCTCCGAGTCGCCGTCGGAGGCCAAGGAAGGTTTCGCCATCGGCTCGAACAAGACCGCGATGGTGGCCATCGAGTACCAGAACGAGCTCTGCAGCGACGGCGGCAAGCTGCACCCAGCTTTCAAGGAGGTCATGGCATCCACCGGGATGCTTGCGGACACAGCGCGGGTGGCGGACGTGGTGCGCAAGACGGGAGCCAAGGTCTTCCACACACCGGTCGTTTTGAAGGCCGAGTTCTGCAACACATTCGAGATGATCGTGATTGTCATCGTGAAGGGCAAGAACGGCTCGGACGCCTTCATGGGCAGCGACCTGGAGAAGCAGCTCAAGCAGCACGGCATAGATACTGTGGTAATTTGCGGTCTTTTCACCAGTTGCTGTGTGGAGTCCACTATACGCACCGCCTGCGAGAAGGGCTTCAACGTGGTCACCCTCACCAATTGCACCGCAACATCCAGCTCGGATGGCCAGAAAGCGGCGGCTGACCTGAAGATTTAGTCTGACAGTATGCTGTCCCAGCCCATGACAGACGCGCCTGTCGCTTCAGCACCAGAGAAGTGTTGCGACGAATGTGTGGGCTCGTAGCGCTGGCTCGGGTGCGGCCACATCCTCGCTGCATGCGTTCTGCTTCCAGTCCCAGAAGCGGATTGGGTTCCAGGCGCAGTCGAATGAGTGATGGTTTTATTGTTGCTGCCCGGCTGCCTGACTGCGGGACGGTTGTCCAGATGTTCGGGCCCGTAGTTTGTGGCATGATTCGGCCTTTGTGCCGATCGGGCGTCTCATGTCGTGTGTCGGGGGCGAGCGCCCGTGCTGTGGGAGAGGTGCAATTGGAGCGAGTTCTGGAACGTTCCTGCAGTGCCTGGCTCCCTCTCAGGGGCGAGTGGTGCTTACTTACCGTCGGGATAGTTGGCTTGGCGTGTCGCCCCGCCAGTTCTGGCCTGGCCCACCGCGCTTCGGCGCGGGGCGCTAGCTACGTCCCAGAGCCTGAGCAGCAACGTCCCGAGCCTTGCCCATCACCCCGCCCTGCGGAGCGGAGCGACACGCCATCCGCTCGCAGGGCACAGCGTGCCGCTGGGGCCGCCGCCGCGCCACGCCAAGCAGCAGCTCCTGATCCCAACGTGTCCATGCAGTGACTGGCTCCTGCCCAGAGAGCGGGCGCCGCTTGGGCGAGCGGTGCTCCCTTCGGCTCCGCAGGCTCTCAGCAGCAACGACGGGTTACCACAGCGTTGTGTCGGGCGTGTCCCTCTACAGGAGGAAGATCCAGAAATAGACAAAGCATAGCCTGCATGGGGACGACTTTGCAGACTGCGTTGGGCTATCTTTTGACCATTCTAAGTTTTTGTTCGAAGATCTGCCTCTAGGAGGACGTGCCCGACCGAACCATAGCGGCCTCGCGCACGGCGCTCAGCGCCGGCCCCTCCGCCGCGAGCCGGGCGGCGAGCTCGGCAGGGCCTCCTGCCTGGGCGCGCGCGCGCGTGGCACCGGCGGGGCGACATGTGCCGTGCGCTTGCGCGTCGGGAAGGGAGCCGCTCCTGGCGGGGCTGGAGGCCTCTGCCGGCTCTATGGATCAAGCAGTGGCGAAGCGCCCTGGCTCGCCTACAGGCCCACCAGAGAATGTTCTAAGAACCGCCTGTGGTTTGCACGAACTCTTATCAGAACCTTTCTGGCGGAGTCAGTCTTGTTTTTTGCACATCGGGCTGATGTTCTAACAGCACTGTTTCTGCTCTTCGAGCATTTTTCAGGAGGGGAAAAAACACACAGATACTATTAATCGCCGATTCCACGGAAAATATTGGAAAATATGGGGAGTGGGGGCGAAGACAACAACCAAGAAAATATGGGAAAATATGGGGAACCATGTTATTTGTGCGTAATCCCATGCCGAGGATAATAAAGTACCCCCCCCCCTTAAGTCGTTAGAGTCTTTTATCGTCGGCCTAGAAGGGTTTCAAATATAGGCGGTATAGGCGGAGGGCGCGGAGGCCGTTCTTCATTATCACTGGGAAAGTTCGCCATCGAGGTTACTTCCTTCTTATGTTGAGATAACAACATCAAGCGAAGCGAACACGTTTTTTCAGGATGTCTCAAGCGAAACCAATAATTTTGGGAGGCAGTCTAAAACCAAACGATCAATATTTCAAGGATGTCTCAAGCGGAACCAGCAATTATTTGAGAATGTCTCAAGCGAAGCGAAAACTTGTCGAGGATGTCTCAAGCGAAACAAGCATCTACTCGAGGATGTCTCAAGCGACATGAGAGATGTGTCGAGGATGTTTCAAACGAAACGAGAGATTTGTTCGAGGATGTATTTCTTTCTCCTCCTCCCTCTGGCGCCCTGAACTTGTTTATCGCTGGGGTTGATTATCCTGGGAAAACTAAGCACATGAGCTACCCTACACGAGCAGATGAACATTTTAATTGTCATTAAGCGCTTACGAAGTAAATCTAGTAAGTGTTCGACTTTGGGTTTTTGCTTCTACCTCCTGCTCAGCTTCTCCTGCTCTTCCTCCTTCTCATCCTTATCCTCTTCCTTTTCTTCTTTCTTTATACTTCTCGTTCTAGTTATTTTTCTTCTTGTCGCCCTGGCCCCCTGAACGTGTTTATCGCTGGGGTTGATTCTCCTGGGAAAACTAAGCACATGAGCTACCCCTACACGAGCAGATGAAAAGTTGAATTTTCATTAAGCGTTTACAAATTAAATATAATAAGTTTTGAACTTTGGATTTTTGCTTCCTCGGTCTTCTCTCCTCCTCTTGCTCTTTCTCCTCCTTCTCATCCTCTTCCTCCTCTTCCTCCTCTACCTCCTCTTCCTCTTCTTCTCTTTTTATGTATTTTTCTTCTCGTCTCCCTACCCCCCTGAACTTGTTTATCGCTGGGGTTGATTATCCTGGGAAAACTAAGCACATGAGCTATCATTAAGCGTTTCCAAATTTAAATGTAAGAAGTTTTGAACTTTGGATTCTTGCTTCCTCCTTGTTCTCTCCTCCTCTTGCTCTTTCTCCTCTTCCTCATCCTCTTCCTCCTCTTCCTCCTCTGCCTCCCCTTCCTCTTCTTCTCTTTCTATATTTCTATTTAGCTCTCTGTATTTCTTGTTGAGGATGTCTCATAGAGGACCAAAGACCAAGGATCCTCAAGATATCTTTGGCTTTTTCCTCTTGGTATCTCTTTATGCTGGCTCTGGCGGGCAACTTTTATTATCTCCCCGAAAACCCCGAACTTTATTATCCCTGTGTGTTTATTCTCCGCGGCATCTGGTTATTTATTTGTGTGTGTCAGGGCCCCTTCAATTTTGGGGTTCTAAGAACATGTCGTGGTAGGCCTATGGGAATGCCGGGGCGGTCGGTCCCTGCTCCGGCGGGCCAGCCGTGGGCCGTGCGCCTCGGCCCCCGCGGGGTGCAGGCGCCCCTCCCGGTGGGCCGGATGCCTCTGCTGGCTCCGTGGGCCAGCCGTGGGCCAGGTTTACGTCGGGCGTGTCCCCCTACAGGGGGATTTTCGACGAAGAATAAAAAAGATTCAACAAATATTCCAACAGGGCAACAAAATGCAAAAAAAATAGTCCCCAGAGCATTTTTGTATTATTTTTGGACAATTTGGAGTGTATTTCCCTACCCAGGCTC